AAAAAATTTTTTTTTTTTTCGGTTTTTTTTTTTTTTTTTTTTTTTTTTTTTTTTTGAGTAAGTTTCTCAGATAAGTAAGAGCGTCCAGTATACAAGCAGACGGCATTGTATCAGGAACAAGTACCGACGCCAAGTGTCTCGACGTCTTAGAGCGTCACACCCCCTTCCGACCCCCCTTCACCAAGTGATTCCACAGAGTCCCAACGATTTCATGTTTTTATACTAACTTCTCTCGCGAAAGCTTGTAATACCCTGTAGCGAAATTTTTAAGGGCGGAGAAAGTCCTGAAAATTGATGGATTTTTTTTCTTAGAAAAAATATTTAAAAAAATAAAAAAAATATCCAGTTATAAAATTTATTCAAGATCCATTATTTCATCGCACACCCTTTTATGACTTTCAACCCCATTTGGCGTTCGATGAATATTTTCGCTATTATGTCAAGCTTTTATTTTGAATAAAATTAAACAATTTCCAATTTTCACAACGTTCTTTACAGTCTTGCATTATATTTGTCCTTAATAAAAATCCCTCTCTTTCATCCCTCAAGGTAAAATCGTTAAAAATGTTTTTTTTTTTATATTTCTCTCCCTGCGAGCAATGGTCACCCCCAAAGCTTGGTCTATATTTAGAGATTGCTTTTACTGTCAATGGGGTGAAAAACTCGCCCTTTGAGAATTTCTCATCGGCAGGCTGAGGCAGGACGTAGGTGGGATAAGGGATGATATTTCTACGCGTTTTTGTTTACCTTGAAAATCCCTAGAGATACCAAAGCACATATTGCCACAGTGGTACATATATGCCGGGACGAAGCTGCGTGAAAGATATTTTTGATCGGTCGAATCAAAATGAGAATTGTTATCGGTGATATTTTTGGGCGACGTCAAGCTTCGCTTTCTCTCTATTCCCTGAAGATACATGGGGGGTCTAAAGCCCCGTTGATCCCTACAGTACCAGTTTTAGGTCAGGGGGATAGCAGACTCCCCTTTAGGTCACGAAAGAGAATTCCAATAGAAAAATAATCAAAGTACCAGAAATTATTTTTAGCTTATACGTTTTCACCAGGCGTACCAACTATTCTCAGAACCATTCTGTCAAATTCCACAAATCCCTAGAAGTCAATATCACTCTAAAAAAAAAAAAGTTCACCACTTCCAATAAACCTACGCCTACATAACAAAGTCATACGATTTTTTCAATCAATAGCCACATTGTATGTACCTCGTACAACGATACCCGTATATTAATAAAGAAATGATTATTCGTGAAAGCAATCCTTCCACTTATCCCATAAAAAAAATCAAAAGGTCCCCATGTACAGTGCGAGCAAAAATATTTTGTAAAATGATCACGATACTATTCTTACCGCGTATCGGATATATTTTTTTAATTAATATATTGATAAATCTTTTTTTTTTTTCTTTCAACATCTGGAACAAGCTAAGGTATCAGTCACTGTAGTATTTATAAATTTCGTTAGCAACTACTGTTTCTAAAATTTTGTATATATACTGTACAACCGTATGTAGGCACACGTGACACGCGACATGTGCTCGAGTGGGTTAGTAAGCATATAGCATGCAAAACCCTACAGATGTTAAGGACACATGCGGGCATGGAGCCAGAGTCTGTCTTGAGAGTAAAGATTCTTCTCATCTTGGGGGCAATGACTCATCCAGCAGTAGCACCACCCTGGCATTAACAACGGTGCCAGAGATGGTCGGTGGGAGAGTCTACGTCGCGACGGTCACGTCTACGTTGTAATCGTCGCGACGGTCCACCTACACGGATACACGATCGAACCAAGTCTGGCGAAAACCAAACAGTTCCAAGAGATTCTCAAGCCACTGACCAATTCGAATGTATCCCAATTGGCAGCCTTCGGTAACGTTACGTATACAATACCTATAGACTGTATGCACAATAACTGTACATACGCAACTAATCACATACTAGATCGAACAATTCGAAAGAGATCGAGCAATTTTCGGACATCCCGTAGACGCGTTTGGGGCAAAATGAAGTTTCTTGCTTTTTGTTGGTTATGAAATACAGTGGCATCTGTCGAACTTCTCTAAAAGTAGTTGTGTTCGTTTGGGTTAGGTTAGGTATCCTGGTATGTATCCAGTCAAAGCTACAAGGTATTTTAGTGTTATATAGTTAACTATGTTTTATAATGACGTAATTGTAATTCGAATAACTAACCTGGTTCTCAGAGTTGAGTATCTTGAGCTGCTCGTTGATGAGACTGTACTTGGTGCTTTCTTCCTTCCTGAGGGCGCGTTCCTTCTTGAGCTCGGGGCTCCAGAAGGTCTTGATACTGTGCATCGAGCTGCCAAGCTTCTGATTGGTGAGTTCGAGTTCCTTTTTGAGGTTACCAAGCTCCCGTTGGAGATCGTTGTTCTGGTGCTGAAGCTCGCCGATGTAGCCCCCGCCGTCGCGCATCAGGTGTGGATTGGGACTCTGTCTTGCAGACCTGGAGCTGGATCCGTAGATCTCGTCCTCGAGGTACAGTCCGCGATCGCGACTACGGTCCCGGGAGTCACGTATGGGTACGAATTCTCGATCATGATCCAGGATGCCAGCCGATGCACGGTCCAGGCTCGTGTACCTGGCCGTCATACCTCCTGACGAGGACATGGCTGGCCGGGATGCACTTCTGGATCTGTGATGTCCACCACCTCCTGTAGACATACTCCTACCGCGCTCCTCGAGCATCACCGGACTGGCCAGGTCTTCCTCGCGTGAATAGTATGGACTTCCCAGCTGATGATGATGGTAGCTACCGTAGCCGAGGTGTTCCGGGGAATTGTTTCCACTCCTGGTGCCACGCTTACGTCCCAGAGGACTTCCACGTCCGCTCGCATAGCTTCTCGATGGACTCCGATCGACTGTCGGTAGTTCACCGACGCGACGACTACTTCTGGGTGATCTTGTACCACCTCCTGGTCCCACCACACCACTTCCGCTCGAATAAGGATCTCGAGACATTTTCCTTTGACTATGTTAGGTTCCTTTCTTCTTTACTCCTTCCTACACTCTCTCACTTCCTCTTCGCTCTGTCTTCCTGTTATCGCAACACCTCTTCTCTAGGTCCTCTAGCTCCTGGGGAGTGGATCTACGAAAGTGCCAGGACTCTTCGCTTCAGTTACACGACGCCATGTTTCTTTTCTTCAAGTCACCTGCGATCGCGTTAACAATTTTCGCGACTTCTCTTCGTCTTCCTGGAGCAAATCTCAGTTCGTTATACTGTTCAGCGCGAGGTCTTGTTGTAGGTTTAAAATTAGTTTCAACATGGCTTCCATTCTCACGTAGAGTTATCCTGGATGCACTGTATGCTTCAATTGCTATCCGTATAATATCAATATAACGTGGAACGACTATCATGGATGGAAGGTCAAAGTCCATAAGGTATTTTCCACAAATTAGTGTACAACCGTGAGAATTATTAATGACAAAGATGCTTAAAGCCCGATGGTCATCGTGATGGTTGATAAGAGACACTCGCGACTATCATTGACACGCACTAGATACACACGCGCACACACTCACAAACACTTACCGGAAGTGAGACACTAGAACGTGTAAATCGAGACCGCGAGTAGTCCCGGTCAGCTCGATAAAAAAAAAGACAAAAAAAATTCTCATAGTCCAATCCGATAACAGGCGTCCCTACTCTACTGATACTCAATGAATACTTCGTCGCCGTCGCGAGCGCCTAGATCACGACGCTTGACGTTCCTAAGCGTCGTCAAGCATCCGACGACGACACACGAGGCAGAGGCAGGATGCACCCCCTGGCAATCATGATGATCCCAACGCCATCGGAAGCGGAACCAGCAATCAGGACTAGCGCTGGTCCACCAGGGGGGGCCGGCCGGTATACGTGCGAAGCGACGGTCGGCGTTGGATCCCGATTTATCACTGGCACTCACGACGACGCACGGCGGCGACGTAGTCACGAGGTTCACCGGTAGACGATCGATCTTTGACCTTCTTTCCGCACAAAACCCATAAGATTTTACCCTAGCTAGGTGTTACCATCCACTTCTACGATACCTATGCTCCCTCTGACCCTTTCAACCCCCCACTACGCAATTGAATGTATCCCCCTTTAACCGATCCCCTTTCTTCCCTCCTTTCACCCCACTACGTTCACCCCACAACGTCTCTTCCGGTTCACTCGCGTGCCTTGTTGCTTCCTCGCCTGCACCTTCTCGACTCCGTGGGTTCTGCTCTGTTCCTCTTACCCCCACCACAAAGCCCAGTGCACTCCCCACCACCGCGCCAGCATTCCTCGCCCCGCCCTCGCTGCTACTCGGCATCAATTTCTGTCCCCGTTTCGCAAAACCCGCCGGAGTTCCTTATCGATCTCATTTTCTCGGTCTCGCGCCGTCTACAGTCACGGGATTGGATGAATTGATGACGATGACTGGATGATTGCTGGCTGAACTTCTTGGCTTGAAGGGTGACCGGTGTTTGGAACGTTCGGATACACACGATAAATGATCAGGGAAGCCGAAGGGTTTCTGTAAAGAGATATCACACACGCGTTATATATGCTAGATCGTGACTGTACATGCGTATGTTATATTACGTTCACAAACACGAGTAACAACGCGCACTAGTCTTTTAGTCGGCTAGACGCAAACGGGTCTGTTTTAGCGCGTCGTAAGAAACGGCGTCGTGAGTAGCACCGCGACGACGGTGGCGACGACCCCGACCACGACGACGACCAGGACGGCGACGCGTATCTTCTCCCGCTCGATTCGTGCCCTAGCATATCCCATCCTCGTGCACCCCTAGTCATAGCCTCTCCTACCACGAGAGCTTCACACTTGCGTCCGTATGCTCATTCGGTGACCTGAACATCCCTTGCGCGCAGTTCACGCACTCCCCTATCGCGCTTTTCACGTTCCCACTACTTTCTAGGTTATACTCGAGCGCCCTCTCTGTTATCACTATATGCTCGTAGCCGCTCCCTGGTATCCTACCACATTGATGAGAACCGGAAAGAAACAACGTAGACGACTTCGGAAGCTACTCCACATGGAATATTCCTTTTTCGGTTAGATTTAACCCGGAATTGCTTACGGAGTAGCTCCTGCAGCAGAAATCCTGTATCCTCAAACGAGCTTCACGCGACTCTCGTAACGACGCCCGGCATCCCGGCGCACCACATTGCAATCAATGAAGCTACGATTCACCGAGGAACGTCGTGCCGATGGGATTTCACGTTTAGGCTGAAGGGTCAGAGGGGCGATTCGACACGCCAGACATTGGTAGGGATGACTCACCCTACGTTCCACCACTTCCTACGTCCATTTCTCTACTAACGACTCGTCCAACTCGTACGGACGGTAGTCTCGCGGCTCGATAATGGGAAACGAGAGCGAAAGAATCGATAGACCCCGGTGGCTTTTATGTGCCTCAAACTTAATCGCCCGAAAGTTCGTTGCACGGGATTAATACGAGTTCGTTTGGAAAGCGAACGGGAACATTCGGAAGTACTCGACTAACGTCAATTGTCAATACACGTATGATAACCCAAATTCGTATTGTCGATAAACCAGATTTCCTAGTTGCCTACCGCAGACAATTATATCAAGAATAAACAACATTAACAGAGGATAAATAGATTTGGCATGCAGAATTTTAATCCGTGCAGCGCAAATCTAATATAACGACGGATCGTTGAGAATGCTGCCCCCTATGAGTCAAAATAGCTATTACTTAGCTCCCGAATAAACTGTACTCCCTAGACAGCACGGGGGAATGCTTCAGTCTATTTATCTTTCGTCAAGACTCGTACCACGGAATTGACATAAGTAGCGTGCTTGATAATATGAAATATTTCATATCAACGTTCAAACTATCAATATACATTTATATAAGTATTTTCTTACTCCAATCTTCGCTGACAATTTATGCTGTCAATGTGATACAGTCTGCATACGATCTCAGGAATCTCTAGTCTTATCCAAGTGTCATCAGCTATACTAAAACTGACCTCAAGGTTGACCAGAAACTCTAAATAGCCTGTAGCAGTTTTATTATTCATCCTTATGAGTTTTACAGGGTAAATCCCCGTGACTTTAGTCAACGTTACGTTTATCAGTGTATACGTATCTTCAAAATGTATTCGTGTGACAGTGCCTGACATGCCTACTTAGTAACAAACGAGAATGGAGGGGATATTGACTATTGTGGGGTTCTACTGCAGTCTTACAATCAACTATAACAATAACGTGTAACTTGATCACAGTCACCTCGCCCATGTCTACTTGTCTGACAATCTACTCTAATTGAGCAATTGGTGCACTCCAGAGTAGAACCAAGCGTCGCGACGCGTGCGTCTTGTCATTTGTTAGAACCAGTTTCATGTCCGATCAATTGTTTGCCGATTTGTCATATGTTAACCGAAACAAAGCAACAGCTGATTATCATTTCTCGTAGCTACCACGCGTACGACCATGGACTCCCCGAGATATCACGAACTTAGTCGAGAATCGACACGATAGTCGTGGTCACCACAAACGATACTCACTATCGGAATTACAAGCTTTGCCGAACGTCGTGGGGCACAAAAGCGTTTACGAAGTTTAAAAATACAGTGAATAGAACATGTGGTTTCTGACAGTATTCCCTGTGCTCCTATTGGCTATACACCTTCCAAATATCAAGTCTGAATGGCACGGCGACGCTGGACCCTGGGTTATAGCTACAGAAGGTGAAGTATGGCCGCGTCCAGCCAGAAATTGGACCTTCGATGAATTTTACCTCCTGCGATACTCAAATTTTCAGATACTCGTAAGTCCAGCTTGCGTAATCCTTTCCACAAATTGTAAATGGACGTTAGACTGATTCACAGACATATGACTTACGCGATAGTTTTGAAAATTGTATAATTTTTTTTTTTCTTTTTCAGTACGATGGATATTGCGATATAACATTGCGCGCTATCCACCGTTATACGCATATTATATTTGCACATACACGTAGTGCTAGGAAAGTGAATAAGAATAAGCCTAAAAAAAATTTTTCGAATGATCCAGCCTTTAAGGGATTTATCAAAACATTAAATATTGAAGGTCCAACGTCAGACTGTAAGGATCTTCTTCCAACTCTATATGCGGATGAACATTGTACGTATTAACTTCCGGAACGTTTTACTGGAATAATTAGATAAGAGGTAGAGAGCGAAGTCGTTGAATATCCATCATTTAGTAATTATGCATTGTTATTGTTCTGAGTATCTTTGTAACCAGTTTCACATTGCTTCTTTTCGTTTATATATGTAAACGATATTTCGCTATCGTATCTCCAACGCCATGCTTCCTGAGATAATTATTGGTTGCGAAATATTTTTTAGATGTTTTAAACATTAATAGAACCGGTGACGAGGCTACACTCTCTAGTGAGACTACTTGGGGTATACTCAGAGGATTAGAAACCTTCAGTCAACTCCTAACACCTTCCGGTTCCGGTGCCTACGTGAGTTAAAGAAGTTTTAATTAATCTCTTATTTCAATTAACGCACCTTTTTTCCAGTTAAAAATTCGACGACAAGTTATTATCGACGGCCCTCGACTTCCTCATCGTGGCTTACTCCTGGATACGTCGCGACACTATCTACCTCTGGCGGATATCCGCTTAACCTTGGATGCGATGTCTTATAACAAACTGAACGTGCTGCACTGGCACATAGTGGATGATAACAGTTTTCCTTATCAGAGCGAAACTTACCCAAACCTAAGTAAAGAGGGTGCATATCATTCAAGTATGGTTTACAGTATTGCCAATATAAATGATATAATTCAATATGCACGTCTTCGTGGCATCTGGGTCATTCCTGAGTTCGATACACCTGGTCACACTAGATCCTGGGGCAATGCCTATCCTGAACTGTTGACAACGTGTTATAACTCCACTGGTCAACCAAACGGTCGACTCGGTCCAATCGATCCTACCAAGGACTCTGTGTACAGCTTCATCTCCACTTTGTTCACTGAGGTTGTTCAGGTGTTTCCTGGGAGTTATCTTCATCTTGGAGGCGACGAAGTACCGTTCAGTTGTTGGGCCAGCAATCCTGATATAATAAAGTATATGGATTCACAGAAACTGGGTCGAAACTTTGCTAAACTGGAAGAGCAATATATACATAAGGTTTTAGACATTGTGTCTGCACTTAACACAACGGCTATTGTTTGGCAAGAGGTTAGTCACTGTATAGATATTTACTATAGTCTACTGTACTATATTATACTATACTATAGTATGAATTTTGAATAATGGATGGGGAACTGATAGAAGTATTTTTCATATAGGTTTTCGATAATGGGGTCAGCTTACCAAATTCAACGATAGTTCATGTATGGACCGGCTCGTGGAAGACGGAATTGTCCAAAATCACTGCTGCCGGACATCCGGTTCTTCTTTCAGCTTGTTGGTATCTGGATCATACTGCCGAAGGTGGGGATTGGAAGAAATTTTACGTCTGTGATCCAATGGACTTTCCTGGTTTCAATACCAGCCGGTTGATGTTGGGTGGAGAAGCCTGTATGTGGGGAGAATTTGTGGACAAGTAATTAAACAATTGATTTTGACACTAGAGACAGTATAGTGTGACAAATATTGACGCTATAGACAGTACAGTGTAACTGTTTTTGTCACTAGACAAAATTTATATAGCGTGAGAAGTACAGAACAATTTTCTTTCAGGAATAACATTCATCCGAGGATCTGGCCCAGGGCTAGTGCAGCTGCTGAACGTCTGTGGAGTGAATTTGCAGATGATCTTGATACTGCAGCTAGACGATTGGAGGAACATGCCTGTCGTATGAATCGCCGGGGAATCCCCGCTCAGCCACCAAACGGATCTGGTTTTTGTGTCGTTTAAAAATGCCGCCTCTTTTTTAAAACCTGATCTAAACTGTTATAATGTAACGAGTAAAGTAAAAGTGTACGTTAGGTTAGGTTTATTACGAATAAATATTTTTTTCAATTATACTAGATTCATTTGCAATTCGACACGAACAGACAGCTGTCGAACGAGACAGCTCATCGGATATAGCCTAAATACTTTTTTTCTTTGCAATCCTAAATTCAATCGCACAGTGTAAGCTCGGTAAGTTTAATATGACAAAAGCAACCAACTCATGCCTGCCTGCACTGAAGCGTATGACGCCACCAGCATATTTAATACATATTTTACCGATGTTGCGTAGCAAAACGATTGTTAAAACCTATCAAAAACTGTAGAACTCTTTGAGAACTATTTAGAAAGCCTAAAAAAATGTTTCAACAATAGGCTTTTTCAATAGTTGTCGAGGAGTTCTATAGTTCCTAATAGGTTTTAACAATAGTTCTGCTACGTAACATCGGTAAAATACCTATTAAGGATACTAGTCGCACCATATGCTTCAGTGCAGGTATGCATAAGAGGAGTTCTATAGTTCCTAATAGGTTTTAACAATAGTTCTGCTACGTAACATCGGTAAAATACCTATTAAGGATACTAGTCGCACCTTATGCTTCAGTGCAGGTATGCATAAGGAGCTGGCTTTCAGTGTTGTTTTCAGATTGTGCTTCAAACAGTTCCGGAATAGTTCTCTGTAGTACTCAACGTTGGGACCATAGTTCCGCCTGGAACTATTGTTAAATAATGATGGAAGCTAGCACCGCATCGCTGCACTTCTTAACGCAGGCAGGCATAAGGTGCTGGCTTTTGCTTAGTAAATCTTATCGAGCTTACACAGTACACTTGAATTTAAGATTACAAAAAAAAATATTTAGGCAATATCTGATAAGTGGCCTCTTTCTAAGGGTTGCTCTGGGAATCAGTTGTAAGTTGTGGAGAATCTCTGCCCGCCAGGCTACCCGTTCGTGATCACGTTCAGCTCGGCTACGACGGGACATGCATTATCGACGAAGGCGATGATCACAAAATTCTATTCCCGGACTCGCCGCTACGATTTAGCGCCATGTTTTTGATATCGCCTAAAACCGTAGCGTTGTGCATCTCCCTACTCATCTTTGCTATTTATTTCTGATTCATGGCTAGCTCGGAATAGTTGCGGTACGTGTGGCGGCAACTGACAATAATAATTAGGTACCAGAATTCGGGCCACTTTCACGTTTTGTCTCCCTTCTAATCTTGCATTCTGCGTGTAGCAAGGTCAGTCAAAAATGTTGTATGCATTTAGATGCAAATGACGTATTCAATTGATGACCATTAAGTCGTCACCAAACAGACAGCTTTTTCGTAGTTGGTTATTGACGTTTTCTACAGCAGTCATCAACGAGAATTGTGCATAGTGTGGAACATTAGCAAACCTAACTTAACCTTAAAGTTATATCTGTTGATTAAAGGTTAATATTTTTGGTATTCCTTTACGCTTATTTGTTATTACATACTTTTTCAACTTAAAATTTCATATTGACAAAACTTCGTAGCTGCATCTCAAACTAAATATATTCAATAGCCCGTATTCACAACTCACTCTTAAAGTCACTAACAGAGTCGCTTGTAGTTAAAAGTCACTAAGAAAAAATTTAAAAGCGTGCTATTAGCACTAAAAGCGAGTTCAGAATACGGGCTAATGTGTACGTTGATTTACATTTTCATTAAATTTTTTGTAGACAATATGCCCATGGCATTTATGATATATATTATTAAAATGTGGAGTTATATTATTAATAATAATTGTATTTCTGTTATTAGGCTGCAAATATGGGTGAACGCAAGGGAACAAATTTATATTATCCACCTGACTATGACCCCAAAGTCGGTGGTCTCAATAAATTCCTTGGTACACATGCTCTTCGAGAGCGTGCCCGTAAACTTCATATGGGTATCTTAATCATACGGTTTGAAATGCCATATAATATATGGTGTGATGGCTGTGGAAATCACATAGGAATGGGTGTACGATATAATGCAGAAAAGAAGAAGGTGGGAATGTATTATAGCACACCTGTTTATCAGTTTCGAATGAAATGTCATCTGTGTGATAATCACTTTGAGATAAAAACAGACCCAGGGGTAAGAAATTGCCATATTCAACGATATTTTACATAATTATTTTTAATCATGCACTTTTTTCAGAATTTAGATTATATTATAGTCAGCGGAGCACGGCGCCAGGAAAATCGTTGGGATCCAAAGGATAATGAACAAGTAGTACCAGAAACAAAAGAAGTTTCTCGTAGATTATATGACGATGCCATGTATAAATTAGAACATTGCATGGATGATACAAAAACAGCTCGATCCCGAGATTCTGCATTGGATAATGCAATTGCACTTAATGATACTCATTGGAGAGATGACTACAGTTCCAACTGTGCATTACGTGCTTCATTTCGGGTAAGGTACTTTGTATGTTTCTCTATCTATTATCACAAAGATACCACAAATTCATCAACCTTTAATATACTTCTTTCATATTAATTTTTAGGCTCGAAAGAAAGAGCTTCAAGAGAAAGGAACTTTAGACCAGCAGCTACTAAAAAATTCCAGTTTGAACATTGAATTGGTTAGCGAACATGAAGATGACATAAAATTAGCTCGCTTGCTTATGCACAGTTCACAAAAAGGTATGTTTTTGGAATAAAAAATTCAGGAATATTTTATTGCTAGAGATACGAACACAAATGTGGCATCAGTTCTATTATCTGTTAATTACATATAATCAAAACATACTTATCTTTTCTAGGAAATAAGAAAGATACGAGATCGTCTTTAAAGAGATTGGTTTCTGTCGCAAAATCAAAGGAAAAGGCAAAGAAAATGGCGGTTACAACATTAAATAGTGGATCTACTAAACAAATTCTAAGATTACCTCTTATACAGGAAGCCTCGAGCTCGAAATCTGATACCACTGTAAATTCGTCATTAGTCAACTATGACCTTTCAACTTCTGATAGTGACTCATAGTAAAACTTTAAACCAAGTTATTCAGCCCAAACGCACCACCTGAATATGGTTTTACCCCATAAGACTCAAATGAGCACATTAACTTCAGGTGGCACGTTTCTACTAAATAACTCTGTAAATAAAAATATTCATAATTGTTACCTTTATATTAGTGTATAATAAATATTTAAACAAATCACATTTTTTCTAAATCAATTTTTTTACTCATTTTGTATTCCAAATTTCTCTATTATAGTACAACATTTCAATTTAACGAAAGTGAATTGCTTATCAAGCAGAGTAAGCTTTTGAAATAATAAATGTAAGAATCAATTTAACAATACAATTTTATTATATATAAATCTTAACTAGCAAATTTCTTTAATCATAGATTACATATTATTTTGGGGAAGGTACCAAGTATAATATAACTATGATATACAATTTACAACCTAAATCTAATTTAATCTTACAATAGATTTACTGATATATTTTTCCGAAAATATTAAAAATCACTATGATATAACATAGACATAAGAATTCCTCAATTTCTCTTAATTACTCATCAACAAGTGGTTGTGGAGCCGCAGGTGGTGGCGAACCATCGGATGTCAACTTCTTCTTCACGACATGAATTTTTTTGTTTGAAAGACTAATAATATAGCAGTGATCATCATACGTTACTGACATTTTGTCAAATTTCTCGTTTGTAGCGAATGCATTAGAATCAATATTGTCAGTTAATGTAATTAAACCCATGATAAGATTCGCAATTCTTTCATCGTTCTCTAATTCTCCTCCGGACTATAATATTAAAACGAAAGTCATATATCTAGATGATAAGTAAATACTGAACAACTTACAGTTAGAACAGCACCATCCTCCGTCAATACAAGATAGCCAATTTGATCAGGAATGCGTTCCATCAGCAACATTTTCTGCAAACAAATATATTTTATACATCATGTACCTATGCACAGTCAGTCCAAGAGTTAGTTTTTTTTTTTTTGATAGTCAGAAGCAATGCGAAATTTAGAAAATCACATGTAGTTTTCCATGAAATGACGTGAATACGTGGTAAAATAGAAAAATAAAACATATTAAATATAAATCCATATGCATGCATACTTTACAACAAGCATTTTGAGCAGTGACACGTGCAGTGCGTTTGAGACTTCATTGTTTCTCGTCTGTCAAAAACCACATTGAACTCGCGAACTTTTTATACATTCGATTTTACACGTTAGCCATTGGTAAATTATTAAATTATAGACTAGATATGATAGAAAAAGCACCTGATTAAGATTTCAATTTCATAACTTTGGTGTTTATATCACGAGCTACACATTAATCTTAACTTTAACAACTAATTAAAATTTCAAACCTTATCGCTTTGTCAAACTATGGGCAATCGGCATCCCGTGTATTTTACACTTTATCAATGGTATAAAGTAATGAAAAAAATATAGAAAATCAGTTTCCAATTGTACATACCGAGCAACAAAAATGATACAGCTGAATACGAGTACCTTCAAATTCAAACACCAACACAATTTTCTTAATACGCTGTGCTTACTTACTGCTTTTCACGAAACTGCAAGTGATATCCCTTCCTTCCTTTCCTTATTGCTGCATCCCCAATGGGGGACGATACCAAAAACATGGCGCTGAATCGCAGCGGCGAGTCCGGAAGTAAATTATTCTGATCATCGCCTCCGTCGATAATGCGGATTCCGTCGTAGCCGAGCTGATACCAATCACGAACGTAGAACTTGGCGAGAAGAGGCTCATCACTATTTGCCACTGGTTCTCAAAACGACACAACGAGGCAGCTCATCGAATAGGCTTTTTCAATAGTTCTCGAAGAGTTCTATAGTTCCTGATAGGTTTTAGCAATACTTCTGTTACGTAACATTAGAAAAATTGAGGTGGTACACGGGTGTCAGGTTCAGCACCGCACTTTTTTAAAATCTCTTAAAAACATTTCAACAATAGGCTTTTTCAATAGTTCTCGAAGAGTTCTATAGTTCCTGATAGGTTTTAGCAATACTTCTGTTACGTAACATTAGAAAAATTGAGGTGGTACACGGGTGTCAGGTTCAGCACCGCACTTTTTTAAAATCTCTTAAAAACATTTCAACAATAGGCTTTTTCAATAGTTCTCGAGGAGTTCTATAGTTCCTGATAGGTTTTAACAAAAGTTCTGCTACGTAACATCGGTAAAATACCTATTAAGGATACTAGTCGCACCATATGCTTCAGTGCAGGTATGCATAAGGAGCTGGCTTTCAGTGTTGTTTTCAGGTTATGTTTCAAACAGTTCCGGAATAATTCTCTCTAGTACTCAATGTTGGGACCATAGTTCCGCCTGGAACTATTGTTAAATAATGCTGGAATCTAGCACCGCATCGCTGCACTCCTTAACGCAGGCAGGCATGAGATGCTGGCTTTTCTCTTAGTAAATCTTGTCGAGCTTATACTGTGCACTCGAATTTAAGATTACAAAAAAAAATATTTAGGCAATATCTGATGAGCGGCCTCGTTCTAATGGTTGCTCCTGGAAACCAGCGTTCAGTTGCGGAGAACCTCTGCCGGTCAGGCTACACGTTCAAGATCACGTTCAATCCTACTCCCGGTCTCGCTGCTCCGATTTAGCGCCATATTTTTGGTATCATCTTAAACCGTAGCGTTGTGCATCTCCCTACTCATCTCTGTCGCCTAAAACCGTAGCGTTGTGTATCTCCCTACGCATCTCTGCTTTTGGTATCACCTAAAACCGTAGTGTTGTGCATCTCCCTATTCATCTCTGTCAAATGCTTCAAATGACTGTACGGACTCTAGACTGTACCTGATGGAAGTGCCATCTGGTGATGAATTTATACATTATCTATTTAGAATCCATTGGTAACAGAAGGAATGGACAATATAAAAATTACTTTATAAAATTAAACTAATTCGAATACTGACACTGTTATAAGAACACTTAAATATTTTAATAAACTGTTATCAATCAATCCAAACTTTCAAAAATTCATTCAATTCACGCACAAGCTCTTGTACAGTTAAATAAAACATTTTAGTATTCAATCCTCGACGTAACGGGACATTTTCCGATTAAACGTAAAATGAGGGCTGACACTTAATTCACGACACTGAATTCAATAAGAGAAGAATGAAATATAATGATCAAGTGCATAAAAACATAGTCCAATATCACCTTAATTAATATTAATAATAAAAATAATACCTTACACCTTACACCTTACACCTTAATTAATATTAATAATAAAAACAAAATCCAAAAACTCATTCAAAAAAGTACTGACGCGAAGTAAATGAACAAAGAGTTAGAATTTCATAACAATGAAGAATTTTTCAAATAAAAATTCGCACCTTCCTGAATTTAAGTTTGCTAAAAACTCTGTGTGGGTTAGCATAAAAGGCCTTCAGTGCGTTTAACGAATGGTTCTTCCTGCATTTAAATTTGCATACAGAATCATTAGCATGCGTCACACATTCGTACATACGAAGTAGTTTAAATTTCTGCGACTATTGCGTAACATTGCCGAGTTCTCACCATTCCCACAAGTTCACAATTTTACCATACGAAAATAATGTGTCACCGAACTTCACCAGGGGAAAATAATTTTTCACTCGTAAGAAAATATGAACTATCATGCTTCTTTTATATTGTTATATATACCCATTTATATACGCCATTAAGAAATATATATGACCTCGTCCAATGACTTGAATGGTTCATCCAGTTTGTACGAGCCGGTATATACGAGATAATGGAGATTCTACGGTGTTACGAAGTATAACGTGATAGATCTTGAACACTTGTCCCGTGATGATGCAAATAGGTCAGGTCCAATCCACCACGAAGCAGCTGCCTTGCGCATCTGCACTTACGAAAGTAACAATTGTCGTTGCTACAGAAAGGTGCAAAATTATCATTTAATTATCATTGAATACCATATCATATGAAACTACAATGTCGTGAATTATTTTAACGAACTGATTTAGCCGAACGTATCACAATATGAGTAACATGAAGACACAAGAAATCATAATCTAAATTTATTGCTGCGCAACCGGCATATCGATATCTATAAAGCAATATTTATAAAATCATTAAATGCAAGACCTTACAGAATTTAAAATTTATATAAATTATTTAAATTGTATCTTCTTTCAGTAACAATATGCATTTACTTATTTCTGTCTATTAAAGCATGCACGTTAAACTTTCCATCACACTGTACATATATAATATATTCATATAATATCAGTCATCGACAAAAATAGTTTCCAATGATTCTCCCACCGTTCAAGTCACCCGAGTACTTTAATTTCTGTGATATTACCCGCTGATTCCTGATTAAGCACCATCTTCGCAGACGGATTATTATGACCTCCTTATCAGAAATGATGACTTTATCGATCTGTGGCCGACAGCTTTATCCTCCTTTAAGAATTGCTTATGCAAAACCTGGTAGCCTCTTGTATACACTTTCTTCTATCCATTAATCACTCCAAGTTATTGTAATGCATTGCCTCAGTCCCATTTAACGAGTTTATCATATAACCGGTTGGACGATGCAATAACACCTAGAAACTCTGTATGGTTTCAATCAATTGAATAGAACGTCAATTTTATTAATAGGACGAGGACCGTATGATAAATGAAATAATATCAATTAATTTTCATATTTTTATGAAACAAGATAACCCTCTATCCGTTTCGTCAGGAAGCCCTTGAAGTCTACTATTTTAAGGTTATGTTTCACGATGTCTCGCGGTAGGACGAACGAGATAATATTAGAGAAACATAATTCTGTCACTGTATACCGAAAAGATTGTATCACTCACGAATTTAATCGAAATTGACAATAAATATTTGTCCTCAACTTAGAATATAAATACATTCATATCTGCTTAGACAGTGTGAAGGGATGATTTTTAAAGAAATAAAAAGAATGAATACATATAATTACTTGTGAAAATAATTGTCATTCCATAGTAATACTTGCAAGATGTTCATCCGGTATTATTACACGTCATTCTCTTGTTCATCATTGTATCTTCAAACGATCGACATCCGTGCTTATACACTATACTGCATGTATACTATTTATAATGTAGAACATATGTACTTATATACACACCACCGTTAGCAATTTGTCACTGTATAATCGCTTTCATAAATATAAAAGTCATTCCCGGAGTTTAGGACGATAATAGCGATTGTCACGTCTCTCTTTTGCGAGGTTACGAGGTTATGTTATGTTAAGAATGGTTCGATTTAACGTCTTCGTGCGCGTCGTTTATTCACAATAAAGATGGACGAATAACGATATGACTTAGAACGTCTTCTAGAGGATAACCTTCGTCACGAAACTGGCACCGGGTTTTAACCAGGTCGCAAGCGTGAGCCAATGTTATACATTTCAGATCGAAATAAAACTATACAGACCGCAATTCTCACGCGAGCATTGCGACTCACGTTATTCTAGTTGCAGCCTGCGTTCCTTACGGCGGTGAAATTGAAAATTCGAATAACGCTTAACGGAACTTACATTGAATTTGGAATATTTATAAGATAGTTAACGTCATAATTGTTTATGGCTGTATCATATGTTCGAGTGTGGGATTTAGGTGATTATAAGTGTTTTTGAAATTCTTATAGGGAGTATTTTTATTGTATTTTTAACTCCCCGTAGCTTTTAAGATTTTCTCATGCGTTATCAATAATACTTATAAAATTTATACTGATTTACTCAAAGTTCCTGATCAATGACTTCGTTCACGTTGAACCAAAAATACAAAATAATTAAAACTTTAAAAGTGATCGATATATCGAATTGATTATATTTTACAGAGAATATATGTGACAAGAAAATAATTCATAGTTCAGTAATCACTTACCAATAAAAATGAAGTGTTATTATTATATTGGTGACGTCATCCACAGGGTGACGGAATACTGTAGCATACTCTTATACTGGGGTGATAGGTGGGAGGGTGGGTTATCGGGTGGGGGGTGTGACGGCTTCTGCCGTCAGAGAACAACCGGCAGTCTTTCACGGATAGTCGAGCCGTAAGGTCTTTCGCTGTGGCGATATTTGTCGTCCACGACAACGCCAGTCGTCGCGACGCTCATGAGTGCTGTGTTACTGTAGTTGATACGTCGATTATAGGTAGAAAGTTCACAGATATTACCAGTGGTTAACAAACAGCTTCGAATGCGAGAATTCTAGTTAAATCTTCGAGGTTTCTACGGGACTCAAGGTACGTTCATGCACGATTTATTTCTTTATTCAATTCATATATTATCTACGTATAATGTTCGGACGTATTTTTACATTGACTTACGTAAGCCTTGGATTAAACAGTAGACGCTGGACAATGAAGGAGGCACGTAATGCTTTTGGTATCTTAAGACGTGATTATGAAAATTATGACTCGAAAATACCTACGGTTATTTCGATCCAATGATACATAGGCGCGATTGAGTAATTGAGTTATAAATTAATTTAGAAACGACTCGAGCGAAACCAACCTGGGTTGTTGATAATTTCCTTTTACACTGTCACTCGCAGTTTTGGATTTTTCCAGCGAGAACATTACTTTTTCGAGATTTCATATCGATCGCTCGCGTAACGCGAAAATGGCGTCAGCGAGAAATAATCGATTCCGCACTGAGTCTAGAGGCGAACTGCCATATAGAAATATCTTCTAGTAAGTAAAGTTTCTTAGAAAATTTGAAATTTTGCAAGTAGCACTTGAAATTTACTTCTAGTATAAATTAAAGAAGACTTTAGTCTTCGTTGTTCCTTGTGACATATTTTTGACTAAAATACAATATCTATTGTTTATCACAACCTTGAAACACTGACAGATCCAATTGTATTGAGATGCAAAGGTTGTACAATCCTCCTATTTGCATGCACCTTAGAATCTAAACCGTGCAAGGCATTTGTTTCTATCTTTTTCTGCATGCTATATCTACGGACCAGAAATCTGACAATAAGCTCTTAGGAGTATAAAAATAGGACGTGGTTGCGTAAAATGTCGGCTAGCATACAGTGACGGTATGAATTTTCATGCGCTCTCCTTGTATGCGTACGTAAAGAGACAGTAGGCAGGCGAGAAAATAAAAAAAAACACAAGGTATGGCGATGAGTGTTTAAGATTGAGGTAAAAATAAACGTAGGTAATAATCGAAATTTCTAAAATTCAAATAAACCGCCGATTATCGACTACGTGACTTGTTCTGATTATTAGTATCAACGAGACAATTAACACCCAATTGATTTAAGGTTCAATAACAAGTTGGCGACTCAAAGTAAATTGTAAAAATTTTTCAAATACAAAATTTAGCTCTTTCATGTACCTGCTCACTTTTTTTTGGTATCACGTAACTTTCTAGAACGCTCAATTTATAAATAAAAAAAAATACTGAGCAACGACGAATGCGCTTCTTTACACGAACCAATCTGGAAGTCAGCCAGGAAGTCGCTGCATCTTTTGTCGATGTTAAAAATAAAGAAAGACCATAACCATGATTTTTCATCTTTTTAAAATGTATTTTCGTAACCGGCCCGACGCCGAGCGTCGAACTCTGTTTGCATAGGCTTCGGACGAGTTTGATAATTCGCAGAACGTCCGTCGTTAGCAATGCGATTAGATAAAAGCATTTTGCGCAATCGTATACCTAAGGAGTTGCGGCTTTTTAGGTTAGAAATGTAATCTTACGATTCTCAATAATATTTCATGATACAAGACATTTCGATTAATCTTGAAAGCAATGAATTTATCTATGTATGAAACGTCACAGTATATATATATATATATATATATAATCAAATTTACTATACTCCTGTAGTTTAAATCTAAATCTATATAAATGATAAACAAAGTCTGCTAAAAATAGTCTAAACTTCAACCGAGGTTCAACCGAGGCCAGAGTCTCCACGTGCATTGATACATTTTTTTTAAAAGCCTTTTCACATTTTTAATATACTACTTTCTTTCCTGGCTTATAAAAGCGTCATTTCTTTTAGTATATCTTTAGTACAATAATATTGGCTAATATTAACTGACGATCGTAGAGCAAATAATTTTGAGTTTTCCATGATAACACTACACTCGGCAGAAGTCTATTGAGAAAGTTGAGATCTGAAACAAACGGCAAGCGTACTCGACTAATTGAACTAATTATGTTTGTTAACCACTGTTGTAAGCATCGATTCACGTGACGTGCTGTTGTATAGGTTAACGGTTATAACGTAGTTGTCACGACCATTAAAGCAGATGCCAGTCACGTAAAATTCGAGAGAAGCACAAGTGCAAAATTTGAAATTATCATTAAAATACAACGACAAGATTTGGGCGTTAAGTAAATTTTCTTTATTGCAGTCGAAAAATTTACGAGTTTGCATTACGTTTGGAGAAAACAAAATTGTCAATATATTATATTAGCCTAATCGATAATTGATTTTGTTTGATCGTACCAAATGTATTATCGATTCATTAGAATTGCACGTGATAGCTCTTATCGTAGGAGTCGATAATATATTTTGTCACATTTTGAATTTTTTATTGTAAAAAATTGCCACTCGTAATAATTTGCATTTACTGATATTATTTTTAATTTTATTTATTTTTTATTTTTTTCAAAAAATTTTTTTCCGTCTCCCATACGTGTGTTTAATCATTAATGGACTATGTAAGATGCTTGGTATCCACATACGACGAAATTTATTAGGTAAATTAACACGAGGATTAGGATTTAATCGGTTTTTGATTAACTGGCAATTAATTTTTTTTATTAAAATTACTGTCGAATCAAATGACGTTTATAATTGTTTATCACTTGTCAGTTCATTATTTACAATGCTTATGGTATACTCCAATTCTATTTCTGTCGATGACTGATTACCCTTTTTTTTTTCCTTATTTTATTTATTACATATTTATGCGCTTTATTTATACTTGCTGAGTCGATGCACTTGTGCACAGGTCGGAAATACACGAATCGAAATACGAATTTCTCTTGAATTACATTAAATCGAAAAGTCTTGTACAGTGTGAAGCAACGTGTATACAAATATTGATTTAATCAAAGAATCGAACCTTGTATGGTTGATATTTGAAATCAATTTCTTTTAAATTCATCTGTTCCTTGTAAAAGGATTTATTTAATCGTTTTGTCTCACATAAATTTACTTAACGGGAATGTACTGTCTATTATCATGAAAAATCAACATATATCTTGCTATCAGCTCGAATCAAGGCTAAAGATAACACCTTGCTGGTATAAGTAGCCAGTGGAAGATAGCAGCTTCGCTTGGAATTTATTATTGCATTGTGCCGTGGATAGAGGACTATTAGAAACTCAGAGGATCTCGTACGAAAATTTTGAAACTGTATAATTTTTTTTTTTTCTTGTTGGGTTACTGTAAATACAATAGAGTTTGGTATACTGTATTTTGAGAACAATGGTATTCATTCATGCTGGAACAGTATAATTAGCAAGAATGCATGGCGATGGGGGAAACATAGGTCAGACAATTTGCAGCTGTTGAGGTTAGAATTGGAAGAAAAATAGGATTTTGTTTTTCTAGAATATTTATTAGTCTTAAAATCTTGATCGCTCTCACGCATAAGAGGAATGTAGTAAAACAGTGAAGTTTTGTTCTTATGTATATCTCGAATTTTGAATTCTATAATTTACACTGAGATAATTCAGTTTTTTTTGCTTCTCCTGTATTCTATTCCTTGAAAGTACGCAATGTCTGTGTAAAATATTATTTACTTTTTTCAGGGCACAACGTAACTCGTTATCTGGCGAGAAGGTAAAGTTTGTATGCAGAATGAGATGAGATTAAAAAGTGACGCAACGGAAGCTCCAAGAGTGTACAGAGACCTGACTAAGAGGCGCGACGTGATATCATATATCTAATCAGAGAAAAATTTATAAATAAACATGTCAGGATCAAGACGAACCAGCATAACGATCTACGATTATCCAGAACATTTGAATCCGTTCAAAGACAATAATACGAATGTAGAACTTCGAGGAAACGGCGAGAGCAAGTCATTCGGTAAAGAAGGAAAGAACAAATTTTGGACTTTTGGTCGAAGCAGGAAGAAGAGGTCTCACAGTTTCTCTATTAAATCAACATGGTCAGTATTATTACTTACTCTTGATTGTGGATCTTGATTGCGGATCTTGATTGCTTAATGATTTGCATCTAATCACATACAGGAATGTCCTTCATCAGAGATGCCATTCCCACATCAGATTCTAGGTTATGACACCCATATGTAACTACCGTACAAAAATCCAGTATATTGCACGAAACGCCTTGTAAAAAAAAAAACTGTATAAAGATTAAACAATGATCCATTTAAAAATATTAATTCAAATTTGAATCCTGTCGAGCTATATGGAAATATTGCATAACCCCAAAAAATATCTGCACTCTGGCTTCGTCCACGACCAGTTACGATAATTTGCGAATAATCGTTGATTACGTTAATCAAACTAGTGCATCTCGAAGCATATATTCTCTCGGCTCGTAACTTTCCGTATTTGTCGTGATAATTATTTTTCGAAGCGCGCTGGACGTCGATGTTATCATCGTGAGTAGAGAAGTGGCGTGACAACAAAAAAGAAATACTGTACTTAATAACAAGGATAAAGATGCTCGGCCTAGCAATTTATAAATTCTCTTATTAACTCATTCGATTCGTGGAAGGAGTTTCAAGTGCAAAATAATACGCAATCAATGAAACACGATACTCTTAACGTAAATCCAAGCGTATGTATCCACTTGTTCGAATTACAGAGGGCGCTCGTTACTTCCCAACGAACCTAACCCCAAATTCCGAAGTGACAGCTGACTCTAAAAATACGAGCGACAGTGATTCCACGTAATAGAAACATAACCAAATGCCTGAATTCGTAGCTTTATAGTCCCATAATACTGTAAACACGTGTAGGTATCGTCCTCCGACATAGGACAGACTTGCTTTTATCGCTATGAACGAGATGAACGGCTATTACGACTTATAATGCATGAAAGGAAGTTATTTTTGACATTGAGAGCAGCCCGGACGATTAAGCTTGAGAAATCCCGGTGCGTCGTTCCTCCTAACGTGACTTTCATTGCCAGACTGACTGCGACAACATTCGGGTAGATGTCATGGCGCAAACTTATACTTTCGTAGAGTCTACCTTGAATTAATGAAAGGTCCATGTGCTTGATAAAGATCAGGATGAATTTTGACGATTCGAAGAGACTCGCGTCACGTGTCAATTATATTGGGCGTTAGGGAGTAAACAAGGATACTTGAGTAATGCTATTACGTCATCTCTTTGATTTATGTATTTCCATAGGCATAAATGGTGGCATATATATATATATATATATAAAGAATACTGATCACTTAAAGATCACTGATCTCTCATACCTTTTACAATCTTGACTTCCTTTGATTTGCTAGTTTCTAGTTGCCATTCTTCGTTGGTAAAACATAACAGGAACCTCTTGCAAATTGTATGGCAAATATAACAGAGGCTTATGAGTATGGTAGATGTATTGTGTTCTATGGAGGAATTTTATATTTATTTGAGATGTTTTGCGTTAATTACTGGATTTGTGTACTTATGTTTATTGGATTTTTTTTTCTGTCGTCTTTTCTTTCCTTTGTCATTTATCGATAAATGTTATTTGGATCTGTAAAGATTTCTTATGGTGACGTCATCGCATAAAACGGACAAAGTGCAAAGTTACTTGGTGCTTGTTTTCATTGAGCGTCATTCGTGCTGCACCGTTGGTTGTTGAGTGGGATGACTCGTTATTTTTTTTCGAAATTTTAAAAGTACTCTGTTATAATTTGTTATATGCTCCGGCTATATTAATTTTATTTTAATTAAATTTGTCACGCAGGTAGTTGTTTTTTTAAAGGAATTTCGTAATATCTTATGAAAATTTTATAATTTTATTCTGTGCAGGAATGGAATTTTTGGAAAGCGCAAAGACACGCCCGAACCTGCAGAAAGACGGACGACGATAACCACAGGTTTGTCTTTTTGGTTTTTGACTTTGACAAATTTGGTTTCCATAAAAAAACGCTGAATGAAACAGTAAAACGTATAAAGAACGATGATCGATTACCGACGAAGTCATGGAAAAGGTTTATTAATATTTAAGGAAGAATAAAATTACAAAATCTCTTTTATCCTTTCGTATTTCAGTTTCGTCGACTTATCAGAAAGCTGCGTTTAATGAGAGACCCGTGGCGCCACCTAGAATATCACGGGATCAGCAGGAGTTCGATGAAGCATTAGGGACTCTTACCAGAAGAAGGAAATACACTTTCGATGAAAGTTCAAGATACGATTCAAATTTGACTGTAAATGGCGACCCAGCACGTATATATGATGGCAGTCCTCAGGATACAACGGCGTCCATTATGGGTGACCTTACCCCGAAACCTCCAGCTCGAAGGTCATTCCAGTTCCTCATTTTATCCAATTACTAACACCACTTCTACGTATATGACATACGTTTATAGTGGTATTTGTCATTTGACTTGCATGTCTCATTTAACTTGACTGTATATATTTCAACAGATTTGGACAAGTTAGTCCCAGGCCAAAGGAAAAGATACCACCGTTAAATTTTGACGATAAGGATCCCAAGGGAAATGAAAATAGTGAGGATTATAGGGGACCAGATCAAACACCCGTTCCACCAAAGTAAGAATGTATCAGATATATATATTTTTTAAAATCTGTAATGATTAGATATACCTATAATAATTTGTCTATAATCAAATCTTTGTAGGAGATTTGGTCAGAGATTATCACAGAGATTAATTGTGTCCAATCACGAGCCAGAAGAAGAAACTTTCCTGAGGAATGAAAAATCATCCGATCTTTCTCTACGAGATGAGAATGAGAATGTTCCAGAGGATTATGCTTTCAGAAGATGTAGTCGGGATGCTGTAAGAAGATCGAACTTGTCAATCAATAGTTGCGTGTCTATTGGCAGTACAGCTAGTGCATTTGGACGTAAAAAACGACGAGCGCCACAACCACCTCGATCTAGAGATGAGGTTGAGGTTACTAAGGTCAGCTGGATACCAATTGCTAATTTTAATGCAGAACGTTATCACGGGAGACCTATTAAAATTTATTGATTTACAGGATAAGGAAATGTCACTGTCGGTAGGATCAAGTGATACAGCGAAGGTCGTGTTGAGGATATCCGAGCCCATTGACATCAGTCATGTCACGGAGAACATTGAAGAGATGACAAAGAAGAGTCAGGTAATTGATGAAACTTCAGAATCACTTCCGGAATCTGAAAAGCAATCGGACGTGAGCATAAAGGTGTCACCAGCAGAGGATACTCAGAAAGAATTAAAGGAAGAGTCCTTGGACAAATCATTGAATGAGGATTCGGTGAATCCTGAGAGAATTGAAATTCCAGTGGATGAGATAGAGATAACAAGAGATGTCGAGGAGAAGCTTGAAATCCTGAAGAATGTAGAAAGCATGTCCGACGATGATGACGTATGTTTCAGGAAGAAAGGATCCTCCGGGACGCTGTCAAGGAGTGACAGCTTCTCCGTGAAGGAAGAGATTGAGAAAATAGAAAAGCAGATAAAAGCACTCGAAGCTAAAAATGATGAACGTAGGAATTCTGAAAACGATGAAATCGCGACCGCGAGACTTTCGATTCAGGCAAATAGACGGAGCTTCTTTAAGAATATGGTGGACGATCCGCATAATGGGGTTAAAATTGAATTTAAGGAATTACCAAGAGCGCAACAAGATATTAGTATTGTTCGCTTAACGGAACCCCCTGTTCCTGTTGATGCGCCAAGAGAACCGGTCAAAATTGTTGAGCTACATATCTCGGAACCGATTAGACAAAAACCGGAAATTGTCGGCGAAGGTGATGTTAATCCTCTGCCAAAGCCTCAAAGAAGACACAGCGCCTTGGATAATTTGAATAATGAGCAGTCAAAAGCGATTAATAATTCCAGAAGGTCAGTTGAACCGGAGGAAATGACGTCAGGACAGAAAGGCAATTCCTTGTGAATGACATCCGTTTCGTTTGTCGGTGCTGTTTTATAGAAAAGCGAAAAACTAAGATTTGGCCATTTGTTTATGCACTATCGGCAACTCTAACTAATGGAGCATAATTAACGAGCATTGCTTTGGGTTCTTTTGTGCAATAGTAATGCTTTGAAAATTTTATCATCGATCAGAGATCTTGATGATTGTAGATGACGTGCCTTCGATGCTGGTTTCGTTATTTTTAGGAATAATATTATTGTATAATTAGAATTTTCATTATTTATTGATACGAAATAAAAATAAGGTAAACCGAAGAAAAAGGAGGTAAACCGTTTCATTTTCCAATTAAATTTTTTTATTCATCTCGAGCAGTAAGTATAGTTAAAGACAATATAGACGCCTCAATCCGATTGTCATGAAATTATTATACAGTAAATTTAAAATTACAATTTTCAAAAATTGTTTTTCTTGTTATCAAGCTGGTTAGGGCATGGGTTCTATACTCGTGTAGAACATATGACCGTCACCCTACGATTTATTTTTACAATTAGGTCACAGCTGTTTGTATAATTCAGTCACACATGTTTCGGTTAATGTGCTCGAACCTAATTTACTTAGTCGATTTACACAGCGTCTTCGCTGGAATTATAAATGAAATATTAGATTACAGTACAGTGTGTAAAAAATGCCTGCAGACTATTTGGAAGGCAAGGAGACAGAAATGTTAATTAGAAATTGCATAAGATTGCTAGAAAATTTATAATATCAATATCAACAATTGTTTTAAAATTGAAATTGAATGCCATAAAAGTTCAAGTTTTTTGATCCGAGTACAAAGATTTATTTCTTAACTTTAGTTTTTTGAGTTAAACGTAAAGTTGCTCAATCTATACGTTGAACCAATTTGCTTGTGCATCAAACGTTTCTTGTCGTTGTAGTCAATTGAATTATCCTGGTTGATATAGTACACAGTACAATGAATGTAGAGACAAATGTTAATCCAAGTCACTTATTGTCAATTGAGCGTGCGTGCTGATGACATAGAAACGCACAACTGATCCGTCACGAAATGATGTCGTAAACAATTTCTTTGACTTTAATAGAATCAAGGAAGAATATGCAGAACTGATTGAGCTCAAAGGACAATAACTGTTATCAAGTGAAACAATAGAATCGCGTTCTCAAAACGGTAACGTTTCTTTATTCAAGATTATTATAAACACGATAATCACTAGAGAAAATATCCTGAAATCATGAAAAATTAAATACTATCAATAGAAAATGACTCATGCTGTAAGAAATACTTAGAGACATACCAATGATATCGCTAAAATGAAAAATAATGGTTTTAAACGTTTTCGTACTGCCTGAGAGTTTTTGCACCATTTTTTTTACACGTACCTATACACAACTTATCTTTATTCGTTGCGTCAATTAAACAATACACTATTGTGATGTAAAAATAAACATTACAAAAGTTCAATTGGTAACAAATTAGATGCTGCAATGTTCGAATGGAAAATTCTAAAATTATAAACAAATATGCACTACGCAGTATTGTGAAGGAGAAAAATATATTCATAATTTACATAGACCTATGTAAGTTTTTGTATTTGTCGTTTTTTGTATTTTATAAAACGATTTAGATTTGCTTTAACGGTCGACACAACGAATGCATTATCGCCCAGATCCTTTTTTTGTTGTCGTATCTGTTGGAACAAAAAGCAAAATGTAGGCCCCACTCAATCCATAAAACGGAATTAAGATCGTAGCTCAAGGATTTAATAATGGTAAGACTACCTTTGTATTTACAAGAGGAACAAGAGTCTGAAGTTTTTCTGTCAAATAAATTTCTGCAGCTAATGTATTAGTTTCATCCTCTGCATAAATATCCATTATGGCATCTAAAGATTCAGCTATGACCCACAATTCAGCTTCTCGTGTACAGGAATCTAGTAAGAAGACAGTAACGTGCTGCCAACCAGATTCGATAAATTAAATTTTGATTTGCTTTGTTGATAAATGATAATTCAATACTAACCTTAACTAATTCACGACTCTCGGGAGCTTCCGACTCACTGAGGATCAAGGCGAGGTTCCCGACGATCCTAATTAAGTTAACTTTAACGTTTGCATTAGAACATTGACGTTCACCATTTAACATTGGTTGAATGTCTGCAAGAGTTAGTTGCTTGAAATTTGTAGCTCTAGCTTCGACTAGCTTTTGTAGAGCAGCACGCATTGCTGAAGTTGCTGATTCCAAAAGCTCAATGTCATTTGGATCTACTGTTTTGAAAACAAGTGTTCCAATTTCAAGCCACATCCTGTGTGCACAATTTTAACAATTAAATTACAATTAGAAAATAGAACAGAGATTACAGTGTACATGTTCATGGCTTATTACCTGTATAAGTTTTCGACACCTCCTAGTCCCTCGATGTCAAGATTAGATAATAAATTGTTCAAACATAAAAAGGCTCTGCATCGTAAAGTATGTGTTTGTAATAAAACAGTCTTGCTATCTGGATTTTCATTTAATATTTGATTAACGTTTTCTGGTAGTGGGATTGTTTTATCCCATACTTTCCTTATTAAATTACTGCCAGTAAGAATTTCTAATACTTCTACTGGTAAGCTTGAACCTATTCCAATTGATTTATCATTTGCTATGTCCTCCTCCATATATTCAACATCCTCTTCGACTGGATCAGAATCTTCAAGATCTGAATCGACTTCCGTATCTTGATCTTCTGAACACAAATTTGCTAGAATTTCAAGTGCTTGTTGTAGAGCTGCCAATATTTTTCTAGCGTCTTGTAACTTTTTCTCTGTTGTGCGAGATAGAGCATTTTTGTCCAACGGTAAGGCTGAAGTTAAATTGTTTAATAGAGTTCTATGATCGGTAGCCAAAACTTCAGATATCATTGTTGCTACTTTACAAACCACTCGATAGGTATTATCCTCTGTTGAAAATGAATTGCTTACATTCATAAGTATACCACCTGCCAAAGTTCTCAACAGCATTGTTTCAGAAGATGGGTCTTCTTTATTGCACTGCAAATCCATCAGACTCATTAATGATATCTCATGTTGTTTAAGTTCTGTAATGGCAGCTGGATTATCTTCCGATAGAGTTAATATACACTGAGCAGCAGCTACACTGGTGCCCAGACCATAGACTGGTACGTTTAGAAATTTGATTAAGATAGACATGAGATTTTCCTCATTTGAATACTTTATTGCACATTCGTCATTCTCGCATAATGCCCATAGCAGTGTTACAGCTTCAATCAGAGTTTCTTTTTCATCGTCTATTCTATTATTTTCTTTGGCAGAATCTATGAGTTTTGGATGCCAGTCAGAATAATGCTGTAGAATGAAAAAACACTTATTAAATCCCTTCAAAATGTTTTAGTCCTATAATAAAAATTGATATGCAACAGATTATATAAAAATTTTCTGTACTTCTCTTACCCTTTTTAGCAAAGTACTTAATGGAGTCATAATATCTTGTTTCAATAATTGTTGATATGCTTCGTCTCCACCATTTTCAGCGATTCGTCGCAATGCACTTGCACTAGCACCGCGCACTGGTTTTCCAGGATCTACCAATAAAGGACCTATTATTTTTCCAATATTATCATTTGCAATTTTCATAGCCATCGATGCATCACAGCACATTGATTCTAGTGTTTGGAGACCTGATAACTTTTCTTCAACGCTAGGTGATTGTAACTGGAACAAGAAATTAAATTGCCCTATATATATCACATAAATCATACAACATAGTCATTAATATTATCTTATTTTTACTAAAAATCCGAGTGCAAAAAGTAAAATCAGTATAATGTGAAATAACAAATTTTCATCTATTAGTCTTCAATCCACGTGTGTTGGTTCAGAAAATGTGATTCTTAATACATAACCTACAAGAATGTATTTACTATTGTTTCAATAATTTGAAACAATGCAAACATCATTACTTTTCATACAATTCACGAGGAATGTTATGAATTATAGTAATATTAATATTAAATAAAACTATTTAATAACATTTTCATACAAATACGCACTTGCTCATAAACTCTATTTAAAGCACTATCCTTATCTTCATCTAAGAAAGCTTCTTCTTCTTCAAGAGTTTTGATGCTGGGCATCCCAGTAGGATTTTCCTTATGCGGCTTACGCCTTTCTCTTTTTTGTTTACCCATATTTATGAAATATTTGACAACTTGGTACAACTCTCTAAACACGTTCACATAACCATAATGCTACTAGCCGAGCACTTCTGCCATCTTGAAACGTTACGAGACAGCACCACGTGCGTAGGATTTGTTTTCAACTACGTGAAGCAATTTATTACTATAATATATCATACATTTCATTATAAACGTATCCATCAATAAACAAATAAACAATATTAATATCAGTATATTTATAACAGTGAACTATCTGTGAGTGATGTACGTAATAATAAATTATATTTAAAAATTTGGCGTCGACCCTAGTAGTCGCGGACGTTCAACTAATCCTTGATCCTCTGCAAGTTCGGTTAAGTTCGGTATTGTTTGTGATCAGCAGCTGTTAAAGGATACATAGGCAAAAAAATGTATGTTTTTTCACAATTTTGTTGTAAATAGTAGACGAATAAGTAATTTGCCGCATTAGAATGTATCAGGTACAAGAGATTTGATGTTTCGTAAGTGAACCGCACTATGCCAATAATCGTACACGGGTTAATCATACGCCAAAAACCGTTGTATCAGAATCGTTGATACATTAATTATTAGGTTTTGTACGGTCTTTTTCTTAAATAGGAAAATTTAGTTTAATTATGCTCTTGTCACCTGCCAATGATATTTATTTCGAATCTCGAGGTATCACGTAATGTGTAAATGTAGCTTCGCCAGGTATACATAACAAATTGACTTGTAACGGGACGAAGTGATTTACGTTAAATGCACAAAATATTAAATATTCTTTAAATTCTCTACTAACAACTTCAAAAGTAATGTCAAAGCTTAAAAGAATTTCATATCAAAAGTAGCATTAGCAGGAGTACGTTGTTAAAACGTTTGATCGCTGTAATATTCAAAATGGCCCCCTCAGTGTTAGTAATTTCTAAATTAATTAAATCTTTACGTTAATACTCAATTCACCTAATACATTAACAACACCAATCCTGTTCATAAAGCATTTCTCCTGATTAGTCAACATTAAAAATGAGAAACCTAAAAATAGTAAATCTTTACCTGACCCACCAGCTCAAAACACAAAACATACAGACATTATCCATCTTAAGTAATAGACATGAACGGTAAAAAAAATCTGACTGTAACATTAAAAAAAACAACTAATAATTATCTCCGCTGTCCAACAGACACACAAGTGGAGCAGTGGAAAAAGTGCATACTGATCAGCCAACAGACGACGACGACGACGAAGTGAGCGGAGCAGGAGTCACCCTGTATCCAGCCATCCCGCCGACTGATAGCAGGTTAGTTGCGAAGGGCAGATGGGTTCTTCTCTAGGAATGGCAGTAGCGACGCGCGTGCTCACTCGGTACCAGAGGTTCTCAAACAAACGACTAAAACCACCACCAGCAGAGGGACGGTAAGGTACGACCGTTTGCCGAGGCACTTGTCGCGCGTCTTCCGAGCGCGTCGCATGCGACGTCGCGATTTCATTTTCGTGACGCCGTCGTCACAGTCGCGCGACACCTCGTAGCCGCGGTCACCACGTGCTCCTCGACGTCGCGTATTGTCATCGAGTCGGTGCTTTATCCGTGAACTTTAAACTTTAAATTGGACCCCGAAGTGTCTTCGTCACGTCCGCGAGAAATGTTGTCGGACGATTCTTGATAATTTCTAGATCAGTGGGTGACAAAAGTGCTATGTCCAGGAGGAAGCAGGCGAAGCCTAGATCTCTAAGAAGTGAGTTAAAAAATTACAGTGAATATGATTATGCTTGTCTGAATATCCTACACAGACCTTGATCTGTGCTTCTTCTGAATATCCCACACAGACCTTGGTCTTTGAAGATTTTAAGTTTTCCCGCTTACAGTTTCCACGTGCTTCTCTGGATCCGTCCACCAAAGTAACTCGCAGTAGATCCCTATATCATTGTCACTACAGAGGTAGGAGTGGATTTACATAAAGATATTATTTTCATTAATTAAAATTTATAATTAAATAAACTCCATGCGAATTGGCATATAAAAACCAAGCGTACAAAATTTTCATTCATTTATATTTCAATTTTAAATAACTGATCCACAGATACACGTTCCATCCGGTTGCATGACTATAAACTCATAATCGACAAAAACAAGGATGTCAATTCCTGATATAATAACGGACATTGATACTATTCCAATCATGGCACACTCCAGAAACACCTAAACGTCAACTGAATGAACAGCGTAAACTTTCACGGATTTACGGCTGCTTGTAAAAGTCACGTGAGATGGGAGTATAGCAATAGAACGAGAGGCTGAATTGTATTATTGCAATTGAGAAGAAGACGTATTCATATACATACATTCCATCAGGAAGGATAAACGCGTGTGTCCAGCATCTAATGCAAAGTAATGTAGAGTCACAAAGCTGACTAGAAACGGCAGTGAAGTTTGTATTGGTAGTCGTTGGATTGGGATGGTCGGGGTCGGAGGGACAGGAGGGCGTTAGGCAGGGGGGTGGTTCGGGGTTGTACGTTTGGGGTGGCCTCGACTCTCTGGTTGAAAGCGTAGGCGCAGCTGGATCGGTAGTAGGGGGCTGGAGGGAGGGAGAGGACGGAGTCAGTAGTCAGCCAGGATGGAATTAGGTGGAAGCCCGCGGGACTCTAGCTTTTCCCATGGGATTCCCCGGGCTCTGTAATCACCAGTTCTCCTATCCTATCCAATTCTGGTCGCACTCCTCTGTGTTACTGCGTACCCGTCGCTCCTCGCCATATTATATGTACAGCGAATACTAGCCCGCCGATGTATTTCGCAGAAATTGAGGTGGTAAAGCACCGCGCGCAACGACCGAGTCAGATGAAGCCAGCGTTAATTTCCTGCGAAAGAATCGTCGTTTTTGTTTTCCTCTACTTTTTTTTTTTGGCTCGAGACCAATTCATTTTTTGAAATAGGATTTTCCGTGCTAATTTTTCTTTTTTAATTGTTTTGCCTAATTTTCATTTGGTTATCCTGACAGATTAGGGTACGCACTTGGCCGGGGGATTTGATCGAGCTTGAATCGTCATATGGTTTTGCGGCTATGGGATTTTTTGGTTTTAATGGATTATGCATTTTGGGTTTATTATTTTTCTACTTTTTTTATTTTAGCCTTTTTTTAAAAGCTGTCTCTCGACAACTGATTGCCATGTCAATTAGGGTGCTTTAGTCGGCCGATAATGGCGAATGAGAAAATCGTACGCATCCCTGATTCCACGCCAAATCGAATAGAACGCGAAAGCTTGGTACGGCGCACACTGTGTTATAGGGTTTGCTAATTAATGTACGATAATGAACCGACGCGGAACCCAAACCTATATTAATAGATTCAAATCGCAATCTCTGCCATAGTGCTTGCCTCCGAACAGGTACCAATGATCACGCGCATCGTTTGGCCCACGTTCGCTTAACCGCGATACCTAACCTCCAACGCCATTTCGATCCGGCTGATAACGTTAAAACGCATTTGAAATTGTGCGCGTTGTGAATATAAATTCGCTTTATTGATTTACGATCGCGCATAGACAGTGTAGGTGTATAAAAAATTGAGAAAAGTTCTGACAACAATTTTATACATATTCATGTTATCTTTATTCTTGTTCTTGTTCCTTATGGCTTTATCCCCTCATAGAGGGCCAAGTCCCAGTTAATTACTAATTAGTAATGTCAATTATACATACCGATTTATAATTACGAGTTATATCATTTTAGGGGACTATTTATATATTTATTTTTTAAAAAAAGATTGTCTTTTGGCTTATCTCTATATGACTGGGCACACGCATATATATATTATTGATATATACATATATATATATATATATATATATATATATATATAGTATGTACACTATATGTGATGTAATTTAATCAGCGATTTTTTTTAATTGATATTTTATTTTTAGTTGTCATTGAGGAAACACACTTGTACCGCTTGAAAATTTACACGCTGCACTGTTCACGGGAAACCTGCCCGGCCGAAATCAGTGGACATTAAGCCGGAACACGAGAGCCGTGATTGTAATTTGTGCGTGCGGCGTAAATGCATAATTATTATTCTGGAATTAATTTATGTTCACGGCAATTAATAACGACTGCTATCGAGATTTGCCGAGCGGGGCGAAAAGCAGCGCGTTATCGGGAACACAGTGCATATACGCTGCCCGTGTGCTTTTCGCATTTTCAAATATTTACCCGCCAGATGGCGACGTGATCAGTGATTTTCGAAGGTCAAGCGTTCAATGGCTAATCGAATATTACATTTTTGCATAATAAGTTGAAACGTCTTTTTTCATGCGATTCTCTTATTTCAACAGTAACGAACATTATGGACAGTAACAAGTAAAGCCAGTCACTCGATTAATAACTTTGAAAAATTATATTCAGTAATGAGAAAATGGAACATGTTGAAAAATAAGGTCTTATAATTTTTTGTTTGAACGTCCAAACTCGTTAATCAGATGTAGATTAGAAATAATTTAATTTCAATTGTCATACTGTAATTTGTCCAATAGTCGAAAGTTGTATTTTCAAAAATATTTTTTATCGATACGGAGCGCGCAGTGCGAAGTGTCACTGTATATCGAATTTTGAGAAGAAGCTTTAGTAAGGCTTGGTTTAAACGAACTGTGTGAGCTTTAGGTGGAGGCAAGTCATGTTGGATGCAGGGTTCGACTTAAGCTCTTAATCTCGCGCGTTCTAAAATTCCGAGCCTCTTCTAGTTTTTGTCCTGACAGGACCTAAACCTACTCCGCTGGTAAATTTGATCCTTATAATATTGCCGTCAGCTTGGATTAAAATGTCTCCGTTCGCGTTTAAACGAGAATACATGCGTTTCCACTTCTCCCGGAGCCAGCATCCCTGAGAGGAAGTGGTTTTCGAATTTCATTAATTCTCAAGCGATCCCGCGCGTCTTTGTACGACTACGATTAGAGGTTGAAGTAAAATTTATAAAAACTTTAAATCTGACTAATCGATGGATTTCAAAATCCGCGATTATCGATTGTTAGTAATATTTTTGAAAATGTTAGATTTTTTTGTCAAAAAGTCTATTTAAGTTTTTGTTTTCTTTTTTATTACTAGTTACTCTTGTTAATGGTACGAGGTGTTC